TTGGCGCGAGCGCCCCCCCCCCCAGGTGAACACACTCCCGGATCCGCAGACCCTCGTGTTCCTACCCACGAGTGGGGTTTGCCCCCACTGGCGTACAGCCGCCTGGTTCCATCTGAGCCAGCGGGTCCGGACATGACGCATGAGCAGCCTCTTGGGGTGGTAGGTTTTTTTGGGGGGGGGGTCGCTTCTAGAGTAAACGGGACTGAAAAAAACCGCAGCTGAATTTCATTCCACTTACAAAAACTACAGATAGAAATGTAGCCGTCTTAGTCTGGTGTTGCTGGAACAAAAAACGGGACTATGGAGCACTTAATTGTGACAATTTTCTTCCCCTATTTGATCTGAGGAAGTGGGTCTAGCCCACGAAAGCGCCTTACCTTACAAAAACTAGACTCCCTACCCCAGTACCTACAGTGTGTGTGCTCTCTCTCTCTCTCACTCACACACACACACACACACACACACACACACACACACACACAAGATGCAGGACAATGTAGCGCACTAAAGACTAACAAGATGGTTTATTAGATGAGTTTTCGTGGGCCAGACCCACTTCCTCTGAGGAAGTGGGTCTGGCCCACGAAAACTCATCTAATAAACCATCTTGTTAGTCTTTAAAGTGCTACATAGTCCTGTCTTTTGTTTCAGCTACACCAGACTAACACGGCTACATTTCTATCACTATTCTACACGCACAGGTGTACGTTTAAACAACTAAATCGTAGCTAGGCAGAAACTTTTGGGTGTAAAAGTACAAAAATAATAAAGCGATGGAAAACAAAACAAGTTCAGTTTTCTCCAAACATCAGCTGTGGTGTTGTGCCCCCCCAGACTTATTTCCATTGGTTACTCCTACCACTGGTTGAGACACGGCTTTAACTTGCATGAGAGGCTCCCCGCACGTGCAGCCGGTGCTAGTAGACCTACCTGTTGAGTGGGCACCCGGCCGCCTTGTTTTCTGCAAAGGGGGCTCATTAAACTCTGCCTCCGGCTGGGCTGGGAATTTGCATTGCCAATGGGAGCCTTTCCCGCCAGCAGGGGTTGCAAGGAGACGCCCTGGAGACTTGCTTGTTGAGTTGCTCCCCTTGTCCAGTGACCTGCCCACTGTCTCTGTAAGACACACTGGCGAGGAGTACCGCTCAGCCTGGCCAGAGCCCCAGCATGTTCCATTCTCTCCTGAGCTCCTCAGGTCTCCTTGCTGCCTTGGGCAGTCTACTGCTCCTTATGGAAGGCCTGCAGGCTCCCCTTGTGTGACTCTTAGGAGCCCAGGGGAAGGAAACTCTTGAAGGGGGATATGGAGCTGTGCCTCATTGGCGCATTACTGTTCCCTTTAGGAGTGGGTGGGGGAAGTTGATGCATCAAAGCCCTCATCCCAAGAAAACCCAGAGACTTCCACAGTTCAGGGTGGGTAATATTTGCTGCTGCTCTGGGAACCCCTAGGAGCCTGGTGGGGTTTTGTGGTGCATCTGCTCAGCACTGAACTTCCTTTTTTTCCCTCCTCCCTTTGCTTTCTCTCCAGTAACTATCCGTGGAATTGCAACCAACAGCTCAGTTATCCTGCAGGCTCTCAATTCCCAGAATGCCTCTGTGGGCCAGTGGATAGTGGACCAGTGGGCAGTCTTATCTGTGAACTGCAGCAATGGGACAGTGGTAAATATCCAAAATATAACAATGCCTCTGTGGGCCAGTGGATAGTGGGCCAGTGGGCAGACTCACTTGTGAACTGCAGCAATGGGACAGCGGTAAATATCCAAAATATAATGGACAATGCCACAGTGCAATGGACGTCCCCAAGCAATGAGACTGGACCGGTGGACATCAGGTAATGCTGCTCTTTTTAGGTGGAAGTGGTAATAAGAGTGTGGGGCATGGACGTCCCCAAGCAATGAGACTGGACCAGTGGACATAAGGTAATGCTGCTCTTTTCAGGTGGGAGAGGTAATAAGAGTGTGGGGTGCAGAGAGGGTGAGGGGTATGCATGAAGTTTCAGCAGAGCTGGGCCTGCTTTTATATAAGATTTAAAGAGACGGTGGGGAGGGGAGGCAGCTCAACCACAAAACAAGGAGAGGGTGAGGGGTATGCATGAAGTTTCAGCAGAGCTGGGCCTGCTTTCATATAAGATTCAAAGAGCCGGTGGGGAGGGGAGGCAGCTCAACCACAAAACAAGCAGAGGAAATTCAAAGTGAAGCCAAAATGGAAATCCAGCAGGTCCCATCATCACTCCAGTGTTTTACTTATTTGTATTAATTATTGCTGTACTTGGAACAAAACACTTCTGTATGCTGTGAATTCCCATTTGGCGCTTTTTACCCCTTCCTCCTTGCCCCTGCCCCAGAGTAAATCCTGCAAAATATCTGGAAGGAATCAAACAACTGGATTCCAGAAGCCCTTCTGTAATGGGAGAACTTTTTGTGGTAGAGTTCTCAAGCCTAACTAATTCTGAGCTTGCTTGCACTGTCATAAATCCAGAGTGACTCCGCCAAAACGAATAGACTACACCAATACTTGCATTAATGAAGCTGCCTCTGTGAGAAATAGTTGCCAAAGAAACCACAGATAAGGCCTTATCTGTGAAGACAGTGCAGTGGTTATTTACAGCAATTAGAGTTCTATATTTAACTGTAATGGCTGGCATCAATAGAATTACAGCTGGGCGCAGACTCTGCCACCACGTCATTGGAAAGTGCTGTAAAGCAATAAGTGATAGGCATATTGATGGCAAATAGTGACCAACTCTTTATCTAATAGGATGCTTCAGAAACAAAATATAATGGGGAAATGTATCCTAGATCAGTGAAATCATCTTTATGACTTTAAAGGGAGGAGCAATAATGTGGCCTTACCTCCTATTCCCTAGGATAATTATTACTGAGACCAAACCCTTAACATCTGTTTCTTTTTCCACAGAGTGTTTCAGGTCTTGACCAATGGCTCCGCTCTGCTCCAGAAGGCAACGCTGAATGCAGGTAAAGTCACCTAACATACAAACGTTCTGCAGAGCTGGCTCAGACAGCAGCTAATCAGCTTCATTTATTGTGGTTTATCTGAGTTAGGAAAAGATGAAATTGATTCTTAAAGCAAACCCCTCTTCTCTCCTGCAATGAAATAGTAAGGTCCAGACATTGGCACCAGTTGAACATTTATTAGCATGCACACACAAATTGACACTTAATTTCTGCTGGCTATAAAAGTTGCAATAGAGTAGCTATAAATAGGTGAACCGCACCTGGTGTTAATCACCACACGCACTCAACTTAAACAGGCTTGATTTCTCCCCACCCCCTCCAGCCCCTCTGCCATGGGATAAAGAGCATAACTCCCTCAACTACATTTGCCTGCTATTGCCTATACCAGTACCACTGAGCACCACAGTGAACTGATTGCAGGAGTGAAATGTGCACTACAGGCTAATTCCCAGAGTCTCTCCAGAGACTTTTTTAAGCCACTGCCTCCCTGTAGAACAAAGCTAATTCAGTTCTTGCTCACATTGTCTTGTGTGGAGGCATATTTGGTACCTTGAGGTCACTTCCTTGTGGGTGGTCACCGACTGGAGTGCTGGAACAGTTTGTATAGTGGGGGTGCTGGAAACCATTGAGCCAAATGGTAAATCCTGTGTATAATGGAAGCCCCTTCAAGATAGGGTGGGTGTAGCAGCACCTACCGTCCCTGACAGCTGTTGCTTAGGAAAGACCTTTAAAGGAGAGTTCTGATCAGAACAGCACCTCCCCCAGCCTGCTCCGGTAGGGCCTCTGAATACAGATCGTGTAGGCCCGCCGGGTTGGCGCTCAGTCCCAAGTGACCAGGAAATCGCATGTCCTGAGATGTTGGCACAAGTCAAGGGCTGTGTCCTGCTTACCGGATTGGGGCATCACACACCAAACTGACCTGTGCTGTCCTTGTTCCCAGTGTACACTCCCACAGCAGGGAAAAATCTCTTCCCTCATCCCGGCCCCTCCTAAAACAGGATCCTGAAGTCCTGTTCGTCTGCAATGCTCCACTGAATTTGATGGAGCTATGCCAATTTACCCCAGGGGCAGCCCTGACCTCTATTTGAGGCATCCACGCAGCAACAGGCAGTGAGTCCCACAACCTGCCTGCTCTCCTGGTTTCTAATCTTGGTTTTGCTTCTGCATTTCAGTGTCTACAACCCCACCTACGTCAACACAGACATCGATCACCACTTCCACCTCTTCCACCACCTCCCGTGGTTCTGTCTCCACCACACAGGCCAGCTCCTTCCTGGTGGCCGTGGTCCACCTGCTGTCAGTCTTGGCTACTGGCAAACTGTTCTCCTAGTGGCAAACGCTCCCCAGTCGAGCCATACCCTTCCATCTTTGCTATCTGTCTGGATGCAAGGGTGGACAATTGATCTACTCAGGAAGTCTCTTTTCTGCTGTTTATGTATTTAAGAATGACTGCACTTTCTTTTATACCCTACTTGACCAGAGAGCTGACACCAACCCCATTGTCAGGAGGAGAGAACACTTTGGGGAGGGGGAACCAAACACCTCTGGCACATAGCTGTTTGGAGGTGCTGAAATATTCTGTAGCAAGTCAGGATGAGATCCCTCCATAAAGTCTAGAATAGCATCTCCAGAGTCCTTCCTGCCTGACACAAGGTAACACTGGGTGGGGGTCCCTTCATCCTGATCTCCTATAGCTCTATGGAGCAAAGGGTCTCCTTCCGGCATGGGGAAGAGTCTCTGGCCGCTGCTGCATCCCACTTGCTGTGCAAACTGGGAATAGGGCGAATGTGTTTCTGAGCCAGTAGCTTCTGTGTGACTCTGAGAATCAGTCACCTCTTTGTGACTTACCCAGCCCTTCCTGACTGGGGAGTTTCATTGTAATTGGAGACTGGGGGAGGCAGGGCAGATTTGCACACCGTTCAGACTGCATTAGCCTGAGTGGGATACAGAAGGAAGTTTGGTTCCCTGTTTGTTCCTCTGCCTACCCTAGCCTGCCATGTGGAGGCAAGTGCCTTTCCTAGCTGATATGAGCACCCCTTGCTGGCAGGGCATTCTACATGAAGGCCCCCCTGAGTGGAATTCACTGCCAGGTTCAATCCTTTGCCTAAGATCACCTGAGTCTAACTGCAATATTTCTTCCTTCCCCTCCTGCCCTCCCTGACCTGCTCTGGGGTTTGGGGGCAGAGCCTGAGCTGAAGGGTCAGGTCTCTGAGATGAGTAGGAATATTTTTTAATAGCAGATGATTTTTTTACTGCCACATTGGCTGGGATGTGCCATTGAATTTGTTGATCCATTTTCTTGTTTAGGTTCTGGGGAGGGTTTTGTATGGACTGGTTTGAAGTTAAATGGACAGAGATGTAGATTTCTTACACAAACAAAATTAATGAATAAAATTCTTCATGTTGTGTCTAAAGCTCTCTTTGCTTTTTTTTTCTTGGGTGAGTGGGGTGGCAGACATCAAGGATTTCAAGTTATTTCTGCCTCTTGATGAGCACTTAAATGATATGGGGAAAGACCAAGGTCAAAATCTCCTTTTGCTGCTTCCTGGTAATTTTGTCCAAGTTCATAGGGTGTAACTGGGTGAATTGGTTTTTCCCTGAAAGAACATCCTGTCTCAATGGCAAAACATCTAGTTGCTTGCTGGCTACATCCAGCAATTGCCCCATGTGAACATGCATTGTGGGGAATGGACAAGTGTAGTCCGAATTATTGTGGCACACCTAGGGCATATCTCCACTAAAATTTATTTTGAAATAACTCCTGAAATAGTGTGTCCTCACTACAAGAGAGCCTTGAAATTAGGCTGAGGCAGGCACTGTTACTGCAGACATGCTACCTTGAGTTGGTAATTATTTCAAATTACTCTGGGGAGTAGTTCTTTCAAAATAAGTGGCAGTGTGCCCACGCTAACGCTATTTTGAAATAAGCGTTATTCCCCAGTGGAGCAGGAGTACAGACTTCAAAATAACTGGCTTGGTAGTGTGGACATTCTGCCTTATGTTGAAAATAGGTGGGGTGATTTTGAAAACTCCAATAACTGGCTTGGTAGTGTGGACATTCTGCTTTGTTGAAAATAGGGGGGGTGATTTTGAAAACTCTGTAGGGCCAAGAGGGTATGCTTCAATAGTGTGCCAGGATAGGCCAAGAGGTGGTAACACAAAGTCACCACGACTCCAATAATCTACCAACTGTTACATTCCATGTTGGGCTCCAAACCACAATATATATTTCCTGGGTCAAATTTAACTTTAACCTCACCCTTTTTAATACCCCCCCACCCCCAGGGAGCAGGATGCAAACTGCCCACTGTCCGTGTAGTTAACCTCCCTTTCAGAAACCCACTCAATTTCTGTGAGATTAGTGCTAATTAGTTAATTCGAAGTGAACTAAATGGTTCCACCCAGAGCACTGGGAGGGGAGAGGTAGGGAGTGGAGGTGGGGAAATGCCGTGTTTCCAAGAAAATAATATGCAAGAGGCAGGAACCACAAAAATCAGCTGATCCTGGATATTCAGGTTCCGCAGTCATCAGATAGTCTTATGAAAGGTGAGACGTCCTTGCTTAAGGTGCTTGTGTAATATTCCTTGCCTAAAATGGAATGAGCATGGTTCACATGCACCGTGATTTGTTACCACCCAGTTGGAGTAGGGTGCGCTGCTTATGAAATATGTTTGTTAAATATGTGCCACTGTCTTTTGGCCAGCTCCCATGGAAGGGTTGTTTGTGATCCCAGCTGCTTGGTTTTTTTTTTAAATGCTCTTCTTTGCTTTTGCACTTCTTCCTCCAAAATAATATTAGGGATGGGATCAAAGAATAAGAATATCGCCTCTCCCGGGCTGTGTGAATGGGCCAGCTGTTCTAATGGCACAGGGGAGGCAGGATTAACTTCTGACTTAATATTCCTGGGGGTGGGGAAGAATGGGTTCCACGTTGCCATTCATAGCCTCATCTAGGCTAAGCTGCAGCATTAAGTGCTTCCCTGACCGGTGCTAGCTGGCTGCTAGAGAATGGTACCTGAGCAGTATAAGGCCATCCTGCTATTTCCAGCCCTCTGAACCGCAGTGACAAATCCCAGCCTGGCTTGTGAGCTCTGGGTCTGAGATACTGGGCTTGAAATACTGTCAGTCAGGAAGCTAGGGGCGGGGATTGTCAAATGATGGCCAAATTAGAGGGGAGGGCATCCCCTCATGAAGGCCAACAGGGGAAGAGCTGACATCAATCAGCTCTGATTTTGGAATATTCCATCCACTGAAAACGATTTGTTCTACATCTTCCATACCCCCACCTCAGTGCTCTCCAGCGAGGGCTGCAAAAGGCAAAGGTGAAGAAGGGCTTTGGCAGTGTTTGGCATCCCTACTGGGAAGGTTTATTCTGAGGGTGCAGCTGCAAAAACAAGCAGCTGCTCTTCTCTTTAGCTATGCCTCCAGCAAAGTGTAAATATCTGACTCATGGGTGCTTTCAAAGGGAAGAAATAGCTTGGATGGTATCTGGCACCTGATATGGGTGGGGGGGTGTTGCATGCCAGCTTCACTCCCCTTAATTATCTACTCTTATCACATTGCCCTCACCCACTCTGAGTGGTTCTAGTGATATAGCCTTGGATACCCACTCTGGGGACCTTCCTCCTCCTCCTGTGCCCTCCAATACCCACTCTGGGGACCTTCCTCCTCCTGTGTCCTCCGCCCCTTCCCTGTGCAATCTCTGTAGTGTAGGGTAAATGCACACAAAAGGCCAGATCTCATGGAATTTGAATTTGGTGAGGCATTTGCTGACCTACTGCCCATAGGCTACGTGGCCAGAGAGCAAGGTTCTGTCCCTGGTTTAAACACACACACAGCAGGAAATGGGTTGTCAGAGAATATTCTAGAGTGATATAGTGACAGAGGCAATGTGCTATCTAGTGGTTGGAGAAGAGGCATGGGTGGGGTCTTTCCCCCATCTTCTAATTGCTTCTTTATACAACCTTGAGCAAATCTCATCTCCTTGGGCCTCAGTTTCCCCCTGTGTATAAAGGAGAGCCCCCTCAGCAGTCTTACAAGGGTATGTTGTGTATTAATGCCAGGAAAAGTCTTTTGAGGACTGTTAAGGAAGGTGCTAGAGGGTTAAGGATTAGTGTGTTGACTACTTTCATAGTTTTTCTTTCTCCTCATGTGCCGTTAAGTATATAGAGTGGCCAACAATTTACTTTGGTATTGTGCTGGTCTGCTCAGACTTCTGAGTATCAGGTTGATAGATTTGGTTTCTATCTCTATTGTTCTGGGTAATGTTTCTCTAAGTCATCCTCTTTTTTTCTCTTCCCAGTTGGTGTCCATATATCACTTTAAGGATGCCACTCGCATAACTTCCACATTGAATGTGCCTTAAATATATTCATCATCTTCTCCCTAACCTGTTCATTGCTTAAGTTGGTTGGCTCCCCTTAGAATCTCCGATATTGCCAGAAACTCTTTCAAATGGACTGACGATCTTTCACAGGCATTTACAAACTGATCATCTTGTGGATTTCCATGGCTCTGCTCCATAGAGGAGGAGGAAGATGATGCTAGTGTCCAAATGGGTCATGCTACTTTCCCCAGGCTTTTTAAGTTTATGAAAGTTGCTTTTGATGTCTGTTGCTTGACATCTCGATTCATGCCACCACCATTGGACATCTCACTCCCTAAACAGGTAAAACGTCTTACTGCTTTGTTTCCCTCTGCTCTGATGGCTGCTTTTGGAACACTGAGAGCCATATATTTTGTCTTCCCATTGTTCTTCCATTAAGCAATGGCTCAGAAACAAGGATGTTGGCAGAAACAAATCAATACAAATCCCTATCGTTAATCATATAATCATAGACTCCCAGGAAGAGACCTCAGGAGGTCATTGAGTCCAGCCCCCTGCCCAAAGCAGGACCAACCTCAACTAAATCATTCCAGATTCCACCCCCTCCCTAGGGAACCTATCCCAGTGCTTCCCTACCCTCCTAGGCTGCATCTAGACTGGCAAGTTTTTCCGCAAAAGCGGATGCTTTTGTGGAAAAACTTGCCAGCTGTCTACACTGGCCACTTGGATTTGCGCAAGAACACTGACGTTTTAATGTAAGATTGTCAGTGTTCTTGCACAAATACTATGATGCTCCCGCTCAGGGATAAGCCCTTTGCGCAAATGCTTACTAGACCCACTAAATCAAACCCCGAGAGCTCAATCTCCACAGCACTGGTCTCCCGGTAAGTGGAGACAAGCCCTGAGATGCTGGTGGAGGCTCACAATTAACAGCACCTCCCAGAGCATACCAGTCCCTGTGTCTTGGACAAAGTGCTAGCAGCAATGCCCTGATCATTGTCATTGCTGCAGCATGAAGAAGGCTGTAGGCTCCTACTGGACATTTTATAGCAGCCACTGTGCCCAACACTAGATTAATAAGGGCACAGGAGAGTCTCCCAAGGGATGATTTAGCTCAAGTGAGTGTCTTTCCTTCCTGTTTGTTTCCCACAACCAGAGCCAGGCTTAGGGGCAAGCGAGCCGGGTAGTCCCCCGGGGCCACCATTTTCAAGGGGCCGCCGACAGAGCCGGTCTTAGGGGCAGGCTGCAACTGCATTTTGCAGCCCGATCTCCCGAATCCTCCCCCAGGTTTCCTTGGTTACTCCCCGTTGTTTTTTGTTTTGTTTTTTGACAAATTTTTGTCCAGTATTTTTTTAAAAACCATCTGGCAACCCTATGGGCGAGCCGGGCGGTCACCCAAGGCCACCAATTGGTTAGGACTGGCCCTGCCCACATCTTTGCTCTACCTAATGTAGTCAGCCTGGGAGAACCCCCATAACCAGCCCTACATACAGTATTCACAAGGTCTGACGGGCAGCCCCAAATCCATCACATGTGGGAGCCACGCACATTTCCTATATCCAGGGGACACCTGCTGCAGTCAGTGCTCCTGGCAGGTTTCTGACACCTGCTAATCAAACAGCCTGGACCTCAGTTTCTGAGGCTCCTTACCCTCTCCCAGTGCCTCAGTTTTGTTTTCTTTTGGAAAGCAGTGTCCTGTGTATTAAGGGAATTACTCTCAGTTCACTCCATGGGATGCATAAACAGGAGAATCTCCAATAGGAGAGAGGTTATTTGACCTCTGTGGAATACAGTGTCTCTGCAGCGTGGAGTACAAGGAGGAGATGCAGCTGCCTCCAGGCCCTCGACCGTGTCGGAGCGAGTGTAGCAGCAGAGCACTGCCCACAGCAGAGACTCGGGAGCAGAAACATTTCAGCTCTCTGCAAATTACTGAGACTATTTAATATAGCTCAGATGGGGAGTTGTATTAGACGTTCAATAGATCCTAGGACTTGCTATTCACACAAGACCTTCCACAGCCTTCTATAGAGAGTCAGTACTGTTCTCCATGGAATTTACATGGTTTACCATTGTATTTGGTGATGGTAAGATAATTGATAATTACAGTTGTACCTGTGTGCTTTAAACTTATGTCTCCAGTTGAGCAGACAACATCAAAAAGGAATGTTCTATATTTAGGAGGCAGGCATCTTATCTGAAATCCATCCATTCTACAAATATTTTGATGCAGTACATGATACAGACAATCTCACAGACTTTTGACTTTAATCAAAGGAGAACAGTACAGAAAGATGCATACAAATGTATCACCTGAGGCTAAATATGGCTGAAACTTCCTCAAACAATTCTATTTGAGTACACAGTTGCCTTAGCAATTGTATTTAGAAGCTTTCTGCTACTTTTGATCAAAAGTGAAACTGCATTTCTTCGCTTTATGTTTGTGATTTTACAATTTTTTTCCAGATTGGCTGCCACGTGACATTTAAACAGTAATTGAAGCAGAAATACTGCATTGCTATCAACATCTACTTCTACCGTAGGGATGACTATGAGCTATGTGTTTAAATTAGTCGCAATGACATTTTTCTAGCTGATGAGTTATCCATTAATGGCCAAAGTAGATCTGGACTGGTAGACTAACATTCACGCAGGGCTACTGCAGTGGTCATAAGGCAGAGTAATTCTTGCTCTTGGAAAGGGAAAACTATCAGATCTAGGGCAAATGATACTTCTGAATTCTGCAGTGGTATGTCCAAGTCACATAAATAATAAGGGAAATAAAGCAAGTAGCCTTTGGCACTGATTGATTCAAACTTTTACCTTGCAAAAGTTTTTTTTTCTCCCAGGTGACTTTTACAACCCTCTTCCATTACCTCCTGTATGTTGCTTAAGAAATATCAGCTGGAAAGTTAAGTTTGGAGCCAATTATACCAGGGTGGTGGTTATGATTTGTGGAACAAATGTTTCATTAGCAAAATGATCGGACATTTCAATAGCCATTAAAGTTTATGAATTACAAGCAACCAATCTGATGGAAAACTCTTTAATGCAGCTTTATGACTTAGGTTACGGACTTTGCAACAATCATTTCTGTTAATTGTTAATATATGTTCTTTTGACTGAAAGTTTGCAATATCGAATTCATGCATACTGATTACATAACATATGAGGAAATAGCTGTCCCCGGAGGTTTCAGCTTTAGGATGCCGCTTCATATATTCAGATGCTTCTATTCGCCCTTATAGACAATAAAGTTTTTGTCCGATTCATAGACTTTGACTTTGTATAGACATCCTTCTGGAAGGCGTTTCTGGAGACTGTCCCAGATATATACAGCTAGATTCTCTGTGGTGCTGTGAAGGAAACAGAGGGTTGGTGACAAAAAGAGGAGACAGTCAAGGGAAGAAGTGTGTTGGCTAAGGCGGGAGAGCCCAGCTCCACTGGAGCGGGTGCACAGAAGTTCTAACACAGATAAGTGAGTGCACTGCATTGTCTAGGAATGATTGATTGCAGTAGATCATCAGTTCCCAAACTGGGGGCATGCCCCCCTGGGGTGGTGTGAAGAAATTCCAAGGGGGGGTGTGAGGCTAAGAAATTTTCATAACGTAAAAAAAATTATCAGTGTAAAAAGTTACAAATTGAATGTTTTGTTAAAAGGGGAGGGGGTTGGATGATGGTAAAGAAGAGGTGGGGAGGCATGAGGGTTTCTGAAAAATCAAAAAGGGGGGGTGTGATGCCGAAAAGTTTGGGAACCACTGAAGTAGACAGTTATTCAGTAATGCAAGGACAATAAACTAAACCAGTATGTTCAGTGTCTTGTAACTGGTCATTTGCCTTGCACTTTGATGGGGGATTGTGATGACCTAGGTGCACAGTAGCGCTGAAACAGAATGACGTTTTATCACAATCGGGGCTGGCGACAGATTTTACGGGGCCCTGGGCAATGTGGGTGGTGAGGGGGGACTCGGCTCCAGGCTCTCAGAAGGGGTGCGCTAGGAGCAGCCAGTCAGTCCTCAGTGCCAACTGGAGATCATGCGGGGCTCCAGGGGCAATATATAGGCACAGGGCCCCGTGCCATTGTAAATCACCAGGGTTTGGGACAGCTGCCTCCCTTCCCCCCGCACTTCTGTGGCCCTGGTCACAATCTCCTTGTGCATTTCTCTAGCACTTTGCAAACATCTGTGAAAATGAGGGGCTTGGTTCCTCCTCTTGCGTACACACTGTGACTCCTGCAATGTCAATGGATTTTATCTGCTCCTTTCCCAGGGTGTAAACCGGGCCTGTCAGCTCAAGGTCTTTTCCCCAAGGACTTTTCTCCAGATGTGGTGATGACAAATGAAGGCACAAGCGGCTGATTGCACAACTGGGGGAATCCCAACAATTGGCTGACCACTGAGATTCCTGGTGATTCATTCCTTTCACCCTATCTCTGTAGCCCTGCTCTCCCACTAACCCACACACCAACAGGCTATATAAAATTAACTCCCCCATTCAAGCTAATCAGAGGAACGGGTGTTAAGGGCTGCTGTAAAGAGAACAATGATCAATTGCTCTCCCCGGCAGCTGAAAGTAGGAGGATAGGGTTAAATCTGTGGCAATGGAGATTTCTGACTCTTAAGGGTAATTAAGGGTAACTGTCTAATGATGAGATTCCACAACCTCCCTTGGAAGCTAAACGCCTTTTTTCTCAGTTCTGCCTCCGTGCAAGGAGCTGGACTTGATGACCTCTTAGGATCCCTCCCCCTGTGCAGTTCTGTTTTTTCTAACCCCAGAGCTATGCCCTTACAGCTAGGATCTGAAAAATTCAGCTGTGTTTTTCCTTCCTGCTACAGAATAACAATTCTGCAGTGGCAAAACTGAACCCTATAGGCTTCACCCCTTGGACTGTAGAAGTGTTCCAATAAAGAGGCCTCTTGCACTTGTACCAGCCTGTCTGGAAAGAGTCAGTAAATCCACCTATATTTACGGACCCAGAGACCCTGGCAGGTTTTTGCAGTGCCAAGCCCAGTGGGGCCCTGATCTTGATCTGGCTCCTTGCACTCCCAACAATAAATTGCGCGTTAGGGTTGAAGAATTCTGAACACCTGACTGAGCCCGGAAGCTCCCTGGCAAGCATGTGAGAAACTCCAGAGGGAGAGATGGGCCTGTACCCCCGGACATTGCATAGAATTTGGTGCTCTGGAAGAGTGGTAAGAATTTGCACCACAAAACCATGCCCCCAAACAGGGCCTTTTCCAGGACAGGACAGAGAGATGCAGCTGCGCACGATGGCTACTGAGAGAAAGATCGGCCCTACGCAGCGCAGAGCCATTTCTCCCTCACGTTCCCTGGCACTGGAGCTAGTTCTGCCGAGAAACCCCACCGCTGACCCACCTCACAACATCAGCAAAATAGGCCAAGTCCTCATCCAGGTTCTTGTGGTCAAGTGGTTCCATGATGCTCTCCTGCAGCAGAGAGGAAGGGGCATCAGTGTGGCACATTTTAACCTCGACAGCAGGGGTGGGGGACCTCAGGCCCGGGGGCAGCCCTCAGCTTGCCTGTATCCAGCCCCCCAGACTCAGGCCCCAGGACTGGGGAGCCCCTCTGCTGTCGCCCTGGGGGCTGTAGCGCATAAAAGCTACTAGGCTTCTCACCCTGACTGATTTTTCTGTGGGTCAGTAGCCCCCAACCCCAAAAAGGTTCCCACCCTGTGCTACTGGCTCCTTTCTGGAGCCCTGGGCTCAGCTCTGAGTGCCCAGCTAGCACATGCAAGGAATACCTCACCCTTTAATGTGGGGAGTTTTAATAATGCTGAGCCCCAGGCTCAGGCTTTGCCCATGAGGCCCTAGTTCAGTGGTTCCCAAACTTTTTGACATCACGCCCTCTTTTTGGCTTTTGAGAAATCGTCACGCTTCCCCCTCCCCCATAGCAGCAAAACTTGTTGAGCAAAAAAAAAAAAAAAGGAACTGACTGGGGCCGAAAAACAAAAATAGCAGCAAAACTGGGAGGGGGACTTGATGCGGGGGTGCCTGGGCCTTGTGCCCCCTCCTGGAATTTCTTCATGCCCCCCAGTTTGGGAACCCAGGCCCTAGATGGAGATTTGGTGTTGGAAGGAAAATGCCAGAGTGAAACTGCTAACGGGACCGCAACATGTTGTGCAGCTGGCGAGAGGACCTCAAGATTTCCCACCAGCCGAACATGGGCCTTGGGTACCCACATCTGCATCTCATAATTCAGCCTCTAACTGTTCTTAGGCCTTTATCCAGCACACAAATGTCACAGGCTTTGCACTCATAGGCTACGTCTAGAGTGCTTTCTTCTGTGGAAAGAAGCCAATTTGCATATCTTCTGATTGCGTTATCGGCAGAGGTTTTGTCGAAAAAGAAAGCCATTTAAATGCGGTTCTTTCGGGGAAAAACCCTACACGCTAAAAAAAGGTTTACGTGGTTTTTCAAAAAAGGGTTTGTTTGTTTTTCTGAAAAAACGCATCCAGACTACTTTCACTTTCAAAAGACCCGCCTTCAAAAGTGCGATGGAAGATATGCAAATTAGCTCTAAATTTGCATACCTTCCTTCCACAGAAGAAAGTAGTCTAGACGTAGCCATAGAATCCTAGGGCTGGAAGAGATCCCAGGAGTCATCAAGTCCAGCCCGCTGCCCAAAGCAGGACCAGCTAAATCAACCCAACTAAGTCGTCCCAGCTTGGGCTTTGTCAAGCCATAAGCACTTAGTCCATAGCTTTTATACTCTACTCCAGAGTAAGCCTGCTTCCCAGAAGGCAGTGATGTTTGTTATCTCTGATCCTCAAGGAGGTTCCCCTACACTTCAGAGCACTGGGAAAAGTCAGTGAGGGAACTGAAACCGCAGACACAGAACAACGACCCCTCTTCCTTCCAGCCCTCCAAACTCACTGCTGATACCTGTGAAATCACACCCAGGAGCAGAGAGGATTGTAAACAGCATGAAAGGAAGTATCCATAACATGGTTACCTTCATGTATTCCTGAAGTGTGAAAATGTTCATAAACATGCCACTGATGGGGTTTATCTACAGGACAAATAGACAGCAGATACTCAGTCCAATGCTCTAAAATTCTCTGCAGTGATTATTAAAATGCAGAAACATGGGCAATTGGCATTTACACTGGAATCCTAAGCAAAAAGCAAGTTTGTGTGTGCAGTAAGGACTGGTACCTTGCCTGTCTACTAGCACTCAGACCTGATATGCAAATCAACAAGGAGTTTAACATTATACTTTATAATTCTATTCTAATTAGCTCCTTATTTTGTGTCCACCACCTTGGTATTTCTTATGCTACCGAACAATTAGCTTGCCTGCTAATTTCCGGGGCTGTTTCCAAGTTGCAGAGTAATGAAATCTTTTCTCTCCCAGGTGCTCAAGGGAAGCACATCAGTGAGTTTCTCCACAGATACCTAGTAGGTAGTTCAACTTAATCAAAGAAACTGTGCATTGGGGGAAGTTCTTGTCTGATGCAAAGTGATGTATTTGCATAACACAGGGACAGGAAAAGAAACTGGGGTTCAGGCTACCGTCTGCATCGAGCCACAGGAAAATGCATAACTCCCACTGCCCTAAATAACAATGTGTTAAACATTTTGTTACTGCTAGCAAGGAAGGAGGGCTTCCTTAGAAAGCAGGAGGGAGGCCACCAATGTGGGAACAAGCCCCAATGCTAAGGCTTTGTCTGCATTTGGGAGTCAGCGATCAGTGGCCAACAGCAGGGGTGCAAACTCCAAGTGCAGACAAATGCCCTGGCTCTGCTGTTCCCTCCTTGAAACCGAGGAAAACATCACGGCTACATCTATACTAGCATGATTTTCCGAAAATGCTTTTAATGGAAAAGTTTTCCGTTAAAAGCATTTTCAGAAAAGCGCGTCTAGATTGGCGGAAAAGCGTCCGTGGCCAATCTAGACGCAGTTTTCCGCAAAAAAGCCCCGATCGCCATTTTCACAATCGGGGCTTTTTTGCAGAAATCAGTACTATGCTGTCTACACTGGTCCTTTTGTGCAAAAGTCTTTCGGAAAAAGACTTTTGCCCGAACAGGAGCAGCATAGTTTTTCCGCAAAAGCACTGATGATTTTACATGAGATCACCAGTGCTCTTCCGGAAATTCAAGCGGCCAGTGTAGACAGCTGGCAAGTTTTTCCGCAAAAGCAGATGATTTTGTGGAAAAATTTGCCAGTCTAGACACAGCCCACTGGTATAAACGTGGTGCGTTCCTTGTCCACACTGGAAGCCTAGCCCAGTACAGCTCCATTGCATGCTGGTCCCTGACTGCCGGCTCAGGGCCAGTCCTGAGTGTAGATAAGGCCTGAGCAAAGAAGGATTCAAAAGGGAACCCTAGATAAAGGGGAAATAAGGCGAGACACCTACCTCTCCACGCACAGTCACCGTCACTGAAAGGCAAACAGAAGGCAAGCGCTGTCAATCGTCCTGCTTGTGCTTCTGCCACGAAAGTGCGGGGGAGGGGGAAAAGAATATGGATGCAACAGGGATCTTTAAATTGCAGCCAGCATTTTGTGCCTGATGATCCTGATGATGAGAGGCACCTTCTTTGACAGCTTAGCCAACATCTCCCTCACCAGTATCTGGAGGCTTCCAGAGGGTGGGTGGGGGAAGGGAAAAGGGGAGAGATAGATAGAGGAAAATGTGTTTTGTCTCTCCTGGTGCTCCATAAAAGAGAGACCGACACTGCCGTGGAGAAACACAGTAGCAGCGCTACCTCCAAATCATTGCTGCTCTATGGAAAGCAATGGTCCCGTCTGCTGAAAGGCCCAAGCCACAGAAACACTGACTTGCTACAACGCGAGGTGGAGTCGGGGTGGGAATTGCAAATGCCCGATCTCCCTGAAAATCAAGCCCTGAACCTGGCGGGTTAGACTCTCAATAATATCTCGAAATCGGCGCCCATTCATTTTAAGTTAGCAACGAGAAGGGGAGGAAAGTGGCTGCTGTCAGGGAGCCGCGGTTATTCCCTGGATGGGGCTTTTAAATAATAGAATTCAGGCCTTCTGCAACATTTTCCATTCACAGGTCCCCAAGCACTTAACAAAGGAAGAAAAGAACTCAGAGTCTGGTGCCCTGTTGCTCAGCTATCACCCCCCTCCTCCCTCTCGGCTTTAGATTTTGTTTACAATTTTCCATGGAGAAAAAACTCCAGTTTTGGATTCTTTGCTTTGAATATGAGACAAGCGACTAGCTTGGATGAGGGCTGGGAAAGCGTGTTCTTAGCCACCGACCCGTGTTTCCCTTTCATTGATTCTCCCCCAGACCAGAGGAACATGCAGCGCTGCCCCTCACCTTTATAGTTGTGTCCGTGACTGTGGTTGCATTTCCCAAAGAGTTCCTTGTTTTCAGCGTCATTCAGTGATTTGCTGGAGGGGGAAAAAGCCAGCCTTAAGGAACCAATGGCAAGACAGCTTCCACCAAACACTCTGTGCCCTGGTCACCTTTCTGAGGGATCGCAGCAGACCTTTACAGAACCATTTTTCAGGTCCTAGATGTGTTTGCCATTAGAGAGTGGAGAAAACTAGCGAGAGAAGACAGAGAAACTCTCCTGAAGTTATATACCTAAAAATAGAAGGCTACGCCAGGAAAACCAGCATAGAAGATGCTCTTCTTCTGCCCCATCTTTTCCTAGAGCTTCTCTGCTTTCCTAATTCTCCTGTTCTCTGCTCCTCAGCTTAATCCTGCCCTGAAGCTCCTCCCTGAGCTCTGCTGTCTGGCTCAGACCCACCCTGCTTTTATCTTCCTGCTCAGTCAATATCTGGTCACACCACAATGGTCAGTCTCAGCTGCTTCAGGGGAAGATGCAAAAAACCCTGCAGTTCTAGGATAACCTGCCTTGATGCGTCTTTTGCCCACTGCCACAATCCCATCACTTAGTTCCCATCCAAAAATTCTGGCTCCGTCATATCATGTGGCAGGTAGTTCCACAGGTTAATTTTGCACCCTGGTACAATGCACTTGAGATCTTGATCTCAGAATATACATTATGCCACCATAACTCATATTTAAATATAGCACAAAACTTTGTCATGTTAAATATAAATGGCTACATATAGTCTGGCTACATATACAATCCCCCAAAGCGCAACATTTTCCAGACCAAAAAAACCTGAGAAAAGCCCCACGTCTTTAGCAATATATTGCCCCTTGCCTGGCCCTATCAGGAAAGAAGTTGCCTGTAGAAGTCATTTGCCCCCTTGCTGGTAGCTTAAGATGCTGCCCTGTTGAAATAGAAACTCATTGGTAATAAACAGGCTTGACCATCTTTGCCAGACAACAACCATGCAAGTAGTGGGGAGAGGCATGTGCAGAAATTTCTCCCCCAAAAGACTGATTGTGCCCTGTTACCTGCTCAGCCTGTGAGCAGCAGCAAAGGTTTCTGTCCTGGAAAGGAAAGCCACTTTGCCAGCAGGGTTCAGGTTCTCATTTCTAGTTCTGCTCTGCATCGCTAGCGCCAAGGAGCACAGTCGCTGTCGAAGTGGAAACTGTTCCACGTTGGACGGCAGAACCTCCATAAATATAGCCACAAGCCATCATGTGACTCTCAGTAGCGCAACCAGACAGATGGAGGCATTAAAGCAATTTCTCCTTGAACTGCATGACTACATCTTGTGTGATCCCCCTTCCCCCAGTTAATTTAGCTTACTAAATTGTGAATGGAGACCACAAGGAAGTCGAGCTCCTGTTTGACAAGGTTCATTCACAGGTCCCTCAGGGAAGGCAGAGCGTTCCGAAGGGTGAGCAGTGTCGGCGGGGGGGGGCGGGCAGCGGACTCATACAGTTCAACTTGTGATGTGAACATTATGCTACTGTGTCATGGGGCTATGGGAGGACAGCTGGGCAAAGCAGAAGCACACAAGCAGAAGAGAAATGAGGGCATGTAAGACAAAGTGGTTATACCCCCGGGCTGTGTCTAGACTGGCCACTTTTTCCAGAAAAGCAATCGCTTTTCCAGAAAAACTTGCCAGCTGTCTACACTGGCCGCTTGAATTTCCGCAAAAGCACTGACGATCTCATATAAGATTGTCAGTGCTTTTGCGGAAATACTATGCTGCTCCCGTTCGGGCAAAAGTCTTTTTCCGAAAAAATTTTGCCCAAAAGGGCCAGTGTAGACAGCAGAGATTTGTTTTCCACAAAAAAGCCCCGATCGCAAAAATGGCGATCGGGGATTTTTTGCGGAAAAGCGCGTCTAGATTGGCCATGGACGCTTTTCCACAAAAAGTGCTTTTGCGGAAAAGCATCCTGCCAATCTAGATGTGCTTTTCCGAAAATGCTTTTAACGGAAAACTTTTCTGTTAAAAGCATTTCCGGAAAATCATGCCAGTGTAGACGTAGCCATGCAGAAGAGAAATGAGGGCAAAGTGGTTATACCCCCGGAGAGTTAACTGCCCCTCTGGCAAGATCACACAGGGATAAACCAGGCAGTCTCTCTGAGCTGCAGTTCTGCATCACTAAAATGGGGATAATAATTCTTCCTCTCTTTGCTTACCTTGTCTCTTTAGCTGTAAGCTCTTCAGGGCCTCTCTCTTTGGGCATGTCTTCACTGGGAAATTATTTTGAAATAAGTTATTTCGAAATAACAACTCCCGAAGTAACAATTTCAAAATAGCAAGCAGGAGTACAGATTTCGAAATAAGGGGCGTGGCCAGGTGGACGCTCTGCTTGTTATTTCCAAAGAAGGGGAGTAAATTTCAAGATAACTCTTTAGTGTAGATCAGGGCTTCATCTGTGTACCAACAGCACCTGGCTTGTGGGTGAGAGTCTCTGGTTTGTGGTATGCAGGGAGATCAGATTAAATTATCAAAATAGACCCTTCTGGTCTTCAAACCTATTTATAGGAATCTCGGTGAAAGGTTCTAGGCACTGCTTTGAATACAGGGAATAAAAAATAAGTTACAGGAAGGGCCTATTGGGTCATTTTTCTTAGTGCAGGGAGGCAGTAGCAGCTAAGACGCTTGGGTTACGTTTCCACTGCAGGCTTCTTGCGCAAGAGCTGTTTTGCACAAGAGTTCTTGTGCGAAAGGTCTTCCACAAGAGTGTGTCCACAGTGCCATGTGTTTTTGCACACGAGCAGTGGCAGCCCGTCCATAGGCACGAAGTAGGCGGTCGCCTAGGGCGCCAAATTAAACGGCCGTTGAGGGGTTTGGAGGCAGGGGTGCCGATCGCACGTTTCGCCTAAGGAGCCAGTTGCTGGCAGCTCGTCTCGGGCCGCTCCTGTGCAAGAGATCCGTGGCAGTGTGGACGCTCTCTTGCACAAGAAAGCGGTGATGGCCATTTTAGCCATAGGGGTTACTTGCACAAGAAATTCATGTTGCCTGTCTACACTGCCTTCTTGTGGAAGAGCTCTTGCGCAAGAAGGCTTATTCCTCCTCGTGGGGAGAGGACTAACTCTTCCGGAAGAAGCCGTTTTCCGATGCTGTCCTGTAACTTTACTTGTGCAGGAACACGCGTGCAGTGTAGACACCCGGCAAGTTTTTCCGCAAGAATAGCTGTTCTTGCGCAAAAAGCCTTCAGTGTAGACATAGCCTCGGGTTATATGTAGCTGCTGTTCTGGGTGGGCTGTGTGAAGCGTGAAGGACATGTATTGTAAAGCACTTTGGGGCCTTCAGAAGAAAGCATAAGAGGTTTTTGAAGTGTGACTATGTAGCACCCAGAGCCTGCTAGGTACTTATTGATACTTATTCCTATTGCCAATCATGATCTATTTCCTGTGTAGGTTGCTTCTTCCCAGGGAAACCTGTTAAGCCCATTTTAAACTAGACATAACAAAACTAAAGAGGATATACAGTAGGGACCATTCCTGCACCGGGCAATGGGAGATGGCGTCAACAGAGATTTTCTGTTTCTAGCATCTGTGATTTCTGGAACGGCCCTGGATTCAGCTCTGTGAAAAAGGGGCTAATGCAGAACTGACCCTGGGACCCTGGCTGCCTGCAGGAGGTTTCTCTAGACAGGTCCAAAGGACACGCAGAATTTCCTGGAGCAGGGTGTGGTAGGATTGTGGGGACTCGGGCAGGGTTCCAGAAAAGCCAGTTGCCACTCATCAGCGTCCCCTGGGTTGTTGGAGAGACTTAGTGGGAGTGATCCCTGAAGTGGGGTGCAGATAGGAAAAGTGCGAGTAAACTCAGTGGAGGCCAGATACCCAGTGAAAAGGCAGAGCTGCAGAGGAGCAGGTTAAACAAGATTCACTGATAGACAGCTGGCTTCTGGGCACGCACAAGCCATCGATTTTTTTCCAGGAAGCTAAAGAGCAGCTGACACGGCTGTTTAACTTGGGTGAGAGAGAGGCACGCTAGCCACAGGGCGGTTGACAGATATCCCATCCCATAGGATCCCTTGCCCACATAAATCCTCCAGATCCTGTCCTCATGGACCAGCGGCCATCATATCCTCTCCCTCCCCATCCCTCCCCAGGAACCCATCCTCAGGGGGCTGAGTTGCTGCACCGTAGCTGTGCTTTTGCCTCAGCTGCTTCCCATTTTGAGGTGACCGGGGGAAGTGAGACCAACCCCCAACATGACGGGAGACCCGGCACTGGCCCAGGCTGCCTCCCCTTTTGCCTTCTCCGAGGTGGGTTGGTCCCCCTCTCCATTAGTGGCAAGGGGACTGCTTGGGAGCAGATTTCCTGAGATGAGGGCTCTGTAGGCAATAAGGGGAGACCAGAGGGTGGGTGTGATTGACACCGCCCATGAAAAGCCAAGCTCGGGGATGTGTCATGAGATTCAGTCAGTGTCAAAGGGCCCGTTCTCTGGCCTGGGCTGAGATGGGAGGTGTCTGGTCTTGTGCCCTTCTCCTGAGGACAGCTGGGTGTGAAGACCACTGTTGCAGCCAAGCAGCCGCCTTTCATGGTCACCCTCTGCCAATCGATTTTAGCGGCACTCCTCCCCTTGGCAGCTGCTTGTCACAGGTTCCATGCGGTGTGCAAATTGATTTCCTGATCCCCCCACACTTTTTGGGTGGAGGGGGGGCAGCTGACTGCTTTGTGCTTGCTCTGAGCTCGCTGTTCTGTACATGGAAACAGCCTGCTTGCTGGTCCTCACACCCAAGGCTCCCCTTGAACAACTTCAGGATGGGGACGGCTTCTCTTCTGCACCCCCCCAGCGCCACAGCATCTAGGGGCACGGATCTGAGAGGCCACTCCTTGCTCAACCCCTGTCCTAGCCCAGCCCACACAGGAGCCAAATCTGCCCTCTGCCTGAGGGGGAATTCATGGAGCAAGCCTACAGTCACCCCACACCCGGGCCCAACTGCCCGCCTCTCGCCTCCTGCACCCGCCACTGCTCTTGTAGGCGTCACTTCAGTTTCTTTCTTAAACTCCACAGCGGAGACCCTGTGCCCTTTCTCACAGCTCTTCTGTGTCTTCAGACGGGAGCAGGCCCATCTGGCACATGGAAGCCAGGTGGGGTTCTCTACGCCATCGTTCCCCAGTTATTGCTTCAGGAAGAGGAGTGTTCAGCAAAGCAGGGAACAGCCTGTTGAGCCAGCCTCAGAGGCCTGGGTGCCTTGCAGGCAGGTTCTTTTGTTTTTCAGGAAAGAGCACCCATTCAGTTACGTGGTTGGAAAATCCCTTGGGAAAGGAACCAAGCCAGAGGGCAAGGCGACAACCGCGGTCTTGGCTCACGCCTGTTTTTCTGGCTCTGCTGAGAGATCCGTGCCCAAGTGATAGATTCAGGCGAGATGCTCCCGCTTTATTTCCTCAGGCGGCAGCAAGGTCACCACACACGCATGGTGTGATGCTTGATCTTTTGTGTCGTCAAAGCACCCAGGAGCCCCGTGTCCCAGACTAGGACCCCGTCATGCTAGGATGAGAGAATGAAAAGATGGCCGCTTCTCTGGAGAGCTGACAACCTAGGTACGAGACACGAGACAACGCATGGCTACAGAGTCCAATAGGGGAGCACAAGGACACAAGGAGTCTCTCCTAGCTGGAATGGCAGGCAGTGGTCTTTGCTTGCCAGTGGTCTAACTGTTGTCATGTTTTGGGCAGGAGGCTTAAGGAGGGATTTGAATGAAGCGGCTTTGCAGATGTCTATGGCAGTTCTTCCCCCGCCCCCCATCAGGGGCAGCACAGGAAACAGCAGAGAGGAGTTTGTTTGACATACTAGCAAGTGGATGATGACAGGCCAGTTGGAGGCAGGTGTTGACTTTTCAATGGTATGGAATAGGCTAGCCAAGATTCCTGGCTACGAACCCAAGGCAGACCGCTTCTTTTGTGATGACAGGTTTCAGAGGGGTTGTTGTGTAAGTCTGTTTCAGCAAAAACAACAAGGAGTCTGGTGGCACCTCAAAGACTAACAAGTTTATTAGAGCATGGACTTATGATCAGGAAAGTGTATGCCCTAATAAATGTGTTAGTCTTTAAGGTGCGACTGGACTCCTTGTTGTCTTAGCTCCTTTTATGGCATTCAGGGTATGTCTACACTAGCCCCCTAGTTCGAAGTAGGGAGGCTAATGTAGGCATTTGAAGTTGCAAATGAAGCCCGGGATTTAAATATCCTGGGCTTCATTTGCATCTTCCCAGGTGCCGCCC